AAAGTGCGAAACTGTTTTACATCGTTTTTTTGCAAATTATGTGCTTCTGCTTTTTTTTCAAAGGAATTATTCCAAAAAATGAAGTATTTTACAAAGTAAGTACACAGCATTTCCAAGAGAGGAAGCGTATGATAAGATACCAAATCGTATGATAAGATACCTGTACAATCTTATAAGATCTTGTAAGAATCTTACTGTAAGATTCTATAAGATGAATCAGTTTCTATGATTTTCCATAAGATTTTTATATGATCTTGTACGATTTTTGTCTGATATTATAAGATCATACAAGATCATACTGTAGGATCATATAAGATCTTATAAGAACTTACAGTAAGATTCTTTGACCTGGGTATACCCTTTCATTAAAAGTTACAATCCAACAGGAAAAGCAGTTGAAAGATGCCGTACGAGTATGGTACTGTTCATATGTTTGACAAAACAAAGGGTTGGTAAATCGATCGAATTCCATATTATTTAAATCAGATTTCAGATCAGGTACATCACAAATATCAACTTTTTAGGTCAGTGTGGAAAGAAGGTTTTACACTAAATCCATGCATATCTTCTGATAAAAACGATAGCAGAAGACAATGAAAATACTTAATTAAAGAAAAATATTGAACGGACTAATATTTAAATAAGATGGAAAAATATTTAATGGATTTTTAATATTAGGAGTTTAATAATTTTCTTTTTAACACTAGTCTATAGAGCCTATATTACCATATGGCTCTGGTCATTTTTCTGATCCGTTCAGTGCATTTACGATCATCTAGTGGATCATCATAATATCTTGAAAGCCACTACCAACAAGCAGTTGACACCGTGCCTCTCTACTCTGTCACTTACTTACTATTACTTATTTTTTTATACAATATGATGCTACTTTGAAAAAACGCATACGAACTGCACAAGTTTGTTAAGAAATGATCTGCACACCAGGATAAGAAAATGAGAGATAAAGAAAAATATCGACGTCAATGAACCAATTGTTAGTCGAATTATATCCAAATTATATAAGCTATATATGCATGAAGAATATAAATTCTGACGTTCAAGGACGAGAACAAAAAATATTCTCTAATATTCGGCCGTTCATGTTATCAATATGCGCAGATTATACATTAAAACATTAGAGCCAACTATTTTCTTAAAAAAAATGTCGAATGATTTAGAACGCTTTTCGTCGAACATGGGCATCCAATTTCGAAGAGAAAAACATTTTTTCCTTCTTTTTAAATGAAGAATTGGATTCTTTATTTATTGCACGTATCAACTGGCTGTGACCGAATGCCTCGCTTTGGGAAAAAACAATTTTATTTTTGCAATCAGTGCAATAGTTCGCTAGCAGCGAACATGTTCGGTCACATAATATTTCTAGAGTAAACAAATGCCCTAGAATTAAATATAAGAAAAGTAAACATAAGAAAACTAATAAAACAACGAGTATTACGCAACGTACTCGTTAAAATTTTTTTACTATAGCTTCATTTTGAATTACTCACATACCAGATAAGTACTTGAAAAGCTGAAAGAAATTCACACTGTTATGGAAATATTTTTTGTATGAAACTGCTTTTCGAACTCACTCTCACATTGCCCTCACCGTCTACTGCACACTGCCAGAAATACCTAAATTTGTATTACGAAAAATTCGGGAAGAGTCGTGTCACGAATATATATAATATGTCAAACATGCACTTGTTCATTTAGATGTGGAAATTTTATTATTACTTCAGTTTGTTAACTTATCAAAAAAAAAAGAATCACAAAGACAATATACGATAAAAAACAACGGTAATCAAAAATTCTGTTAAAAGTGTCATGATAATTAGACATGGACGTATAAGAAATGCAAACGGCGCATACAAGAAATAGAAAAAGTAGACGAAATGCTTTTAATGTGTACAAGACATGAGGATGATTAATAATTACAAAAGTGTATGGATATATTTGAAATAATTAGAAGAATCGAAAACCAAATTAGGATTGGTTAGATTTTAATCATTTGATCAATTAATGAGTTCACAAACAAATCGGACAGCTGATACGAACATGGTCCAGTTATAAGATTCTTCATTAGTTAAACAACAAGAATGTAAATCTTGAACGTACCTAGAGTGCGGGGAAAACAAAGAATAGAAGTGATTCGGCTGAAAGAAGAACCACTTACTGTAAATTCGGCAATAAACTTGGCGGATTAGTTTTGATAATAAGAAATATTAATATTGGAATTGTATCATTGGCACCAGCCACTGAGTTTGATGATAAACGAATGAGATTTCTATTCTAAGCCTCACTAAAATCATGAATTTTGAATCTACATTGAATATATCATTTTTAATCTACATTTGTATGCGTATAGGCTCACATATCTTAAAAAATTCTTAATCTTACGCATTCAGAAACACTAACATTTTTTTAATCACAGAGCTTGTAGAAAATCACATTACATTTTATGAAAAAACACTTCTAAAAAAAATGCCCAGCGTATACACTGGGCAAGTGTTTACTTTCAGGTATATCTGCCTAACACTTCAGGCTATCAGATCATTAAATGTTCTCAAAATCAATACTTTTAATGAAAATTATCATTTCTGACTTGGAAGGTCCTTAATAAGATGATAGTATGATAATTATAGAACATGAATAATCGACAGTCAGTTGTTTAAGAAGCGAGCTGCCCTGTATTAAATGTTTTTGATACTCATACTATTCTAGACTTACCGTTGTATTCTCAGTAATAATTTTTCTACATGTTGCATACTATTTAATAAATTTTCAATACACACACAAAAAATCTAGTATTAGATTCACAACAGCCGCTGCCAGGCTTCCTAACGATTCCTGTTAGCTCATCTTGTAAAGCTTTTCAAGATGCATCGAATGCAGAGGTGCCCAAGTCCAAGTCCGGACTTGAAGTCTTTTCTGATGGACTTGACTTGGACTTGGAAATGATCGGACTTGCCCATCTCTGATCGAATGGTGTATTACACCGCCCGAACAATGTTCGAAATGGAACAATAATTGACTCGATGTCATGCGAGACATAATCTTCAAAGGAAACATGAAATTCGAATTTGTCTAGAAGAGGTAGTTCCACCGGAATGAACTGCTCATATCGAAAGAAGCGACGCAAAGAATCCAGTGAGTTTCCATAGCTAGTTAGATTGAGATGAACTAGCGAAGGTGTAAGACAAAGGAAAGATTCTGTCTCGTCTATTGACATCTGAATGTTGACAAATTTCAGCGAAGTTAATAGTAGGTATGGATTTGAGGTAATAGTTTCTCCGACCTTAGCCATATCGCAGTGTCTCAGAGTCAAAGTTTGAAGGCAAGGTGAATAACAAAAAATAGCACCAATTTGTTTGATAATACAGCCGTCCATAGTGTGTTGTTGTATACTACAGCGGAAGGACCACTGTATTCCATTTATTTGAGGAACCTCAATGGACAATTCTAGTTTGCGAAGCACCGGCTGTGAGAAGGAGAGAAGAGCTAACGTATCCTGCAAAGCTTTTGCAAAGAAATTGAAAAAACGTGGGAGCACAAGTGATGGCATGAGGTAATATTGAATTGATGTCACACTCGTAGACTCCATCTAGACTCAACGAGTTAAGTCACTGAATTGGTAGAAGTCAACAAGTGACAGAAACAGCCCGCTTCGGCCTATTCCATTGTGATGGTCGCCGTTCAGAGAGAGCGAAACCACATTTTCGGGTCGAATGATCTGACAAATCAGGTAAAAATCGGCATCTGAGATGCAACGAAACCTCAATTCGTATCGATTATAAGCGTTTGCAGTCGCATACAATTTTATACAGACCTTGCGCAGCGAAAAAAGAATCGTTTGTGCATCAAGTTGTTCCAAAATACGATGGAGAAGCTTGATCGGTAGTGTAGCGATCCAATCTCTCTTATCTATGCCTTCACTTGTCTGTTGACATGCTGGATGATCATTGCTAATACCAGTAAGAACTACTTGATCCATTGGATGCTGTTTTACACGCGTCTGCATGTTTTAGAGTTATAATTCGAATAGTCCTAATATCCCGACAGCCTATCGCTTGAGATCAAAGAAAACTATAATTTACTGTAAACAATGAAATTTCATATGGCAATTTTTGTAGAGTAATTATGAAATAAATTTGCCTTCTCTTAGCGCAATTAACATTGATGAACTATAAAAAGGATGTTTTTCAATTCCTTTAGTTCATTGTTTGAAAGACAATGTGCTTTGTAGCATGTTGTCTTCGAAAAAACTAAAGTGAAACGAACAATGCATTTTCACTGTAAACATCCTTAGACATGTACAAAAGAGCACAACAGTTGATCATTTGCAGTCTATTTGGGTTGAAAAGTAGATTGCAGTTTCCTTTTATTCAACAAACAAATTTTAATGTAAAAGAGCAAAATTGCAGCTATAATGCCTTATAAATGTATTTCGAACGGTGTCAAGTTCCTCCCTTGAATATACATAAATTCCAGTTAATTATCTTAATCATAATATGTGTTGAATATTATTTTTAGGTTAATTAGGATTGTATGTATTATAATTTACATTAGTTCATGAGTCAGATTTAAAAATAACCAATGGTTTAATTATGTCATATCCTGATGGGCAACTGTAATCTTTTGTTACTGGATTTTTAAAAACATCTGTATAGATTCCTCCAAAATATACATGTTGTGTTTGATGTGCAGAAAATGGTTCACTGCTATAACAGAAATATAGGTTAAACTTTGGATTCACATTTTGAAAAACAGCATGCTGACTGTAATTAGAGATACAACTGTGATCTCCTCCTAAAACATTTTTTATTTTTCGACACTTTCCAGTGAAAAGTCCTCCAAAACGATATTTATGTGCAACAGTATTGCAAGCGTTTTCATCATGTAAATTTGCATATGGATTAAAATGTTCACTATTAATATTCAGGCAACCACGATGTGCATTATATTCATAGAATGTCAGAGTTACATTTTTAACCGCATCAGAAAGTTTGACACCATAGTCATTCCAAAATTGTTCATTAAATGATGCTTGTAGATATTGTTTATCAAACAATTCAAATAATGGTGAAACTTGTCTCTTAACTGCAGCATAATTATTATCTATTGTTTTAATCCATTCACTTAAAATAGTTTTTGAGCTGTCTCCGCCCTGTACGGTTCTTGCAAATGTGCTCTTATCTCTGCTATAAGATATGAGCTACGATTAAATTCCACTTGTTCTTTACCTTCTGCCAAAAGTGTAAATTTAAATTCTGCTGCTTGTTTAATATTGAAATCTGTGTCAACTGTTGTATTTAGGATTGATGATTCAAGACTGAACTCACTTCTATAAATGCCACCAATTGTAATAATCTTAACAAAATGCGTTCCAAATGCTTCTAAAAGCTTATAAGAATACAGTAGTAATGCTCGATAATCATTTCTTTTTACAAAATCTGCAAGAATTTCAACAGACTTTTTAAAAGATTCTGTAAAGGACCCTGTCGGATTTCAAAAGTATGTCGAACAAGAAAGCTATATACCACGTTTTGATATATAGCAAATTACTTCCGAAGAAATGCTAATTGTGAAAACTTTTAGCCAGGTTTCTCATTTTGCGATAAAAATACCACCGTTTATATGCAAAGGACCCTGTCGGATTTCAAAAGTATGTAGAACCAGAAAGCTATATACCAGGTTTTGCAGAGCTTCTCGCGACGGATCTAGATCTGTATTGGGTTTTGGTTAATACGTTCTGGTTACCGAGATACGGGTGTCACCATGTTCTTGGTCTTTAATCGGTATTGATGTAAGAGGAAGAGTCGAGATTCGGTAATGTAGTACAATGAGATGTTGTCTTACCCATATTCTTGTAAAGCAATGAAAACTGTACAAACTAGTTCGGTAATGGGCAATAGAGGCTGGTTCTTCTAGAAAAAAATGGGTCATTTATGGAAAAAAAACGATGATACTCATATTACATGTGCGCAGTAAAATGACTGTAAAACCCAAACGATATGCAGAACCTAATTCTAATTTTGTCGAAAACTGTATGAATATGAGCTCTATCTGCCACATTCATGTGGAGGTCTGAAATCCATCCGCGCCTATGGGAAAAAAAATCTTTAATGAAAAAAAGTATACCAGAATAGGGTATATTTTGAACTTAAACTTGGTTTTTTCTAGTCTAATTTACTTATCATTCAGTTTTAACGCCATATTCGTAATCTACCAACAAAACTGAGTCTGACGGAGTATTATATATATGGTCAAAACACAAAAAAGCCTTTTTGGGGACAAAAAACCCTAAGGAGGATCTTGACGGAGTCTGTCTCTCGAAAAACACACATTTAACCGGCCAACTCACATGTAGTTTTAAAGAGTACTGAATTCTGAACAAAATGCACCCTTTAGATTCAGCTTATGTTACAAAAGAAAAAGTATTTAGGCTCATTTTATATATTACCGAACTAGTTTGTACAATTTTCATTGCTTTACAAGAATATGGGTAAGACAACATCTCATTGTACTACATTACCGAATCTCGACTCTTCCTCTTACATCAATACCGATTAAAGACCAAGAACATGGTGACACCCGTATCTCGGTAACCAGAAGGTATTAACCAAAACCCAATACAGATCTAGATCCGTCGCGAGAAGCTCTACAAAACCTGATATATAGCTTTCTGGTTCGACATACTTTTGAAATCCGACAGGGTCCTTTGCATATAAACGGCGGTATTTTTATCGCAAAATGAGAAACCTGGCTAAAAGTTTTCACAATTAGCATTTCTTCAGAAGTAATTTGTTTTTTTAATGTTTTATATCCAGTAGAGAATGATCCAGATATTTTAATAAGTCCTTCACCAAAAGTACCACCTAATTCTATGTCCAAAGAAACAGAAAGAAGTTTACTAATGTCCTCGATACTTCTTATGGTATTGGAAGTAACTTCTCCATGATCTACTGAAGATCGAACGTAATCAAAGCAACTTGGAAGCATATAAACGACACCATTGGGAGTTGTAAAGGTACTAGTTAAATTTGCATTATCAAATACTCTATCACCGCAGTGTAATCAAGATTATTCCATCCATCATCTGGGAATACGTCTAAAATTTTGGATGATATACTGAAGGAATTAGTAACAAACCATATCAAATACAGTTGAAAAATAGTCCGCATGACATATCTAGAATTTATGCCACTTTAACTAAGATATCAAAAAACGGTTTCAGAAGTAGCAGAAAATAAAGAGATACCGGCAATCAAACAGGTAGCAACTTATTGTTTTTTGTTGTATTTTTAACATGATTGCATCGAACTCGTCAAGTTACATAGAATAATATCATTCTTTATTTTTTCAAATGATTTTTAGATAAAAAAATCTATAAATACTTAAGTTCTGAAATTAAGCAAAAATTTCGCGAAGGACGTTTATCAAACGACAAAACTGTCATCTTTGTCGTTCTTTTTTGTTTTGAAATTGTTTAATGCTGATTCTCCATACATAACTGATTATCCTCGTTGAGAATATTAGGTCACAAAAATGATTGCTAGATTTTTGAATTGCCAGTCACCAGAATTTTAGACTGCTGAGCCGTGTTCCGTAGAGTCGAAAAACATCGATGGACCTAGGTGGGCTGAACGTTGCCTGCTTTCTTTTCGACTGTTGTCAGTTCTGATACTGTCATTTTCGGTGTTAGTCGTTATCATGGCAATTTAAGATTTTTCAACGTCATTTTTGAATGAAAAAATTGAAAAATATTGATCTTTTGAACTGGAGGAATGCAGTTCAAAAGATCAATATGTTTCAATTTATAACTGTTTCCCCATAATATGTGGGCAGTGTACTATTATAATATGCCTTCATTTTTTGACCCGTATACAACAATTTGAGATCTCCGACGATACCTGAAAAAATGAGCAAAAATGAAAGTTGTCAAATTGACTTGAAATACACTTCATTCCACTCAGTTTTTTGTGCTGATACCGAATCTGTATTTAGTTTATGAGTAAAAGCCTTATTTGAATTGAAAAACCGTTGAATACCGCCTAAAATGACTATGATACCAGTAAAAACGATTTTTCTCAACATAGGAAAAAGAAAAAAAAGTGGTCTGTAACTTTGTCATTTGTGGTATGATAAGTCGAATGAAATAAAATATTTCACTCCATCACTTGCATGAAAAAAATTAGTTAGATTTACAAAATCGACCTATACTAGTGGACTCGACGAGATTCGAAGCACCACCACTAATAGAGTTTTGGGTCTGGAATCAATTTAATAACTTTTTTTAGATTCAGTTTCTGATGCTGAATCTGAAAAAATTATTTTCAGAACCTGGAAAAAGAGCGAAGTAGAAAATTTTGCCTATTTCAAAAAAGATGTGTTTTTCTCGAAAAACGACACCTTTAGAGTATTTCGTATTTTTCGACTGGAAGGAAGTATTTGCTAAGGCTAAAAAGTGGTTTTTCGTGATCAGCAGCTCACGCTCTATCAAATGATGTAAAGAAAACGCAAAAACAAGTTTTACTGAAAGTTTGAATTGCCTGCATCTTACTAGTTTGCTCCTTAGCTGACTTTTAATACTCGATGTACTAAGCAGAGCTCAAAAACTACAAGTATGTACAAAGTCAAGTATCTACTGAACTGAAAAATCGCATAAAATATCTTCAGCAAGCTTTGCTGGGGATACTTCCGTCTCTATGTCGTATGACACGGCACAGCACTGCACTCGCATGAGCTATGTAAATTAGTTTTTTTCATCTCTGCTTACTAGTATGTTGCAATCACCCACAAACAAAAAAAGAAACAATAGCGCGCGCACAGCTACCATCAGACTATCTGTTTCTATAGCAGGTGTAATCTTTTTTTCATTACAACTAAAATATGTTCTGGTCTGCAAAGATAGAAGTCAACAACGATTTTTAGCAACATTAGGTACATTGAGTCTCAAACTATAACAATTATTCTTTTCTTACCCGGTGAAGGTTCAGCATCACTTTTTGATTAGTTCTTGATCTTCAATTGCCATTGGCGGCTTAACTTTTCCCGACTTAAGTCGTCAAAATTAAGCACCTTAAGTCTAACTTAACTTTTCAGCCAATTATTCAAATGAAGCGGTTTTTAACGATTTTTGTCTATCCGAGTGTGTTCTGAATTTTTCTCCTTCAGAAACGTTTTTTAAAGGTAAAACACATATATTCTTGATTAGTACGATCAACTCTATCCAATCACTTATAAATATCGAGGAAAAAATTTTGATCGATTTCTGAATTACCAGCACCATCGTTATTCATTTAAGCTCACTCTGTTAGAGGTAGAGACTATTTTCTTTCTGATAATGTTTTTTTTCAGAATGAATTAACAAATGATACTATCGATGCATCGCCTTATTATGATTCACCTAATTTCGACACATGCAAAGCATTTGCGGATGCTAAGAAAAAATTACGTTATGTTTTATCCTTTGTTGATCCTGATTGTTGTTCATCTTTATCTTCTATGACAATGTCAATTGTTATGCATCAAAATAGTTCCATATCTTCATCTTCTTTGTCAACAGGATCAAAACATCAAAATAATTTGATATTATTTCTTCGTAGTCAATTGTATGAAGCAATAAGTATGCAAGATCGAGATTTACAAACACAATTGTATGAAATACTTGGATTTATTCAACAGTTTTTGGAAACAGAATGTAAAGAGATTGTGAGATCAATGGGTAATGATTATAGATCGAGAACGATTTACATTGCTTATTTGGTTAAAAGTGATTCACTTTGTTTTACAAAAAACAGAAAAAGGAACACGTATTGAACCTGACATCAGTCCCTGTCTGGAAAAATAACGAATGAACACTATTTTATATAGTCTTTATCTCCATTACGAAAAATTCTTTTACTGTACGATTCGCAAGATTTTTCTAATGGGAAATTTTAAATGTTCCATGGGAAAGAAATATATCAAAAAAAGATCATTTCATACGTAAGGAAGATTGTTGTATATATATATGGACTATATATACACGAAATATATAATACTCTATCAAAGATTGTAGTGTGAAAGTGCTTAAGAGTCACTGCACGAGTGGGACAGCGATAGTTGCTCAATCGATGTTTGAGCTTTTGGCTCAAGATTTTACCGTAGGTAGAGGTAACATATATAGGAAGATTCCCAAAATTTTTTCGTTCAGACTTACTTCGTTCATCCGAATTAGATTCTGTTTGTTTTACATCAGACAATACCGTTACTCACATAACTACACAAATGCTTCAAAAACCTGATTTTCATGTAAGAAAAACAATAAGATCAAATGATGAATTGATCGGCATCAGGCAACAACTTCCACTCTTATAAAATAGCACAACCAACGACATTTCACCTATTCGCTGTTTGTGGCACATACTTTTTAAGTTCATTGTTAAATCGAACATAAACACCAATGGGTAGCACTGTTCGATGCAACACATCCATTTCTTTTGAGAGTGATTGATACATGTATTCCTTTCCGCTGCTGAAAAACTTCATTTTTTCTCAATCAGAGTCAAAAAAGTCAGAATTGTACTCGTAATTCTCAACTTTCTCCATCATAAATCAGCTTTAATGCAATAGAAATATCATATTTCGAATTAGAATCAAAAACTGAGTCGACTAATGTGTATTTCGAAATAGTTAATTTCCATGTTTGGTGAAAATTCTGGTAATTTTTTAACGTGAAAATTCAAGAAAAACATTAAAGTATACTCAGGTAGGATAGTGATACACATCAGTCGATTCGTCTTTTGAGCCTAATTCCCAATATGATATTTCTATTGCACTGAAGCTGATTTCTGATGGAGAAAGTTGAGAATTACGAGCAGAATTCTGACTTTTTCGACTGTGATTGAGAAAACATGAAGTTTTTCGGCATCGGAAAGGGATACATAGAAAAGTGTTTGTAGTCGATTTTGTAGAGAAAGACGAGCTCTACAATCGTGGATACTGGAAAAGTGTTTTGGAACCATCGTTGAAATAAAAATCACCGACGGCGGGCTAAATTTAGAAACACTTGACGAATCTTATATTAAACGAAAAGGCAAGAAACAATTGCATTTGGATTTAATTTTTGAACTGTCTTACCAATCGATTTAATCTAGCTTATATCAATGTATGATTTTCTTTTCATTTAGCAATCAAATCAATGAGTTTGTTTCTCCTCAGTCGTTCACTTTTATCTACAAAGGGAAAACCCCCAAAAGTCTGTTTCCTACAATCTTGGTTACGCCGACCTCTAGTTGGAAGGCAACGAGTGAATACTGGGAAAAGGTTTGAGTTTTTCGAGTAAAACAGGGCGCAAGTTTGAGTAATATAAACATTTTCATCCACCTTGACCTGTCTCTGTGGTTTGTCTTTCGGTTGTTCCAAATATTATAATGCATTTGGATTTAATTTTTGAACTGTTGAGAATCGATCTAATCTAGCTTATATCAATGTATGATCTTCTTTTCATTTAGCAATCAATCGTTTAATAACATGCAGTACTTCACTTTGTTTTAAAAGTTGTTCATTCATTATCATATCAGAAAGTTTTACTTCACAGTACATTCGCATACTCAAACTTAGATCGGAGTATATTGCGAATGTGCAGATTTTGAATGAAAGAGCTTCGTTTGTGGACGACTTTTGAAGCTGCCAGATTTTTTCTATCAGTTGTAAGTTGGACTTTTCCTTATTTGTTCAGAA